CTATTCTATTCTATTCTATTCTAAATAGTAGGAAGAATTTTCTGAGAATAAGAGCTGTCAAGGACTGAACAGATTGCCCAGACTAGTAGTGGATTCTTCCTTGCTGACGTTTTTCTTGTAGGGCATGGTTTGTTGACTTTCTATGCTGGGCAGTGGGTTGGATTAGGTGATTTACAAAGCTGAGTTTATTCTCTTCTGTATTCTGAATCCATTTTTGCAAATTTAGTTCTTGTAAACATTTTTCAGAGGAAACTTCAGAAGTTCTGGCACATCCTTTAGTCTTAATGTATTCCATTTGGCAGGCATAGTCACATGTTGAAAGGCCTTGCTACAGCCAACGAAGCAAAGATAGAAAACCAACCTGTATTCTCCTTCTTTCTCCCTCCTTCTTTAGTGAGGTACTAATACCACTCTATAAAGCCTTAGTAAGATCACACCTAGAATACTGCATCCAATTTTGGTCACCACACTATAAAAAAGATGTCTAGAAAGAGAAGAGCAACAAAGATGATTAGGGAATTGGAGGCTAAAACATATGAAGAATGGTTATAAGAACTGGGCATGGCTAGTCTGGTGAAGAGAAGGACCTGGGGAGACATTATAGCATTATTCCAATATTTGAGGGACTGTCACAGAGAGGAGGGATCAACCTATTTTCCAAAGCACCTGAAAGCCAGTGAAGGAATAATGAATGGAAACTGATCAAGAAGAGATTCAACCTAGAAATAAGGAAAAATTTTCTGACAGTGAGAACTATCAAGCCATGGAAGACTTTGCCTTCAGAAGTTGTGGGAGTTTCCTCACTGGAAGCTTCCAAGAAGCGACTGGACTGCCATCTGTCAGAAATGGTGTAGGATCTCCTGCTTGGGTGGGGGGGGGGATTGGACTAGATGACCTACAAGGTCCCTTCCAATTCTGTTATTCTGATGAGGATAAATCTGATTTTAAGGGGAATGATTTTCCAAAGGGTATTCTGATAATATTCTCACAGGACTGAGAGGGCTGTCCTGTGCTGGATGACACTGTTTTGTGAATAGGAACTGGAACATGCCTCTCCTGCTGGATCTAACATGACCAGGAGACACCACTTAGATCAGACATGCCCATAAGTAACTTCTCACAATTAAAATTTTTCTTGCATGAACAATTAATGTAATGTATTGGTAATTTACACTTTTGCTTGCATTTGCCTTCTTTTGTAAAGGTATTTGTAACAAGCTTTCCCAATCTTAGGGGCCATAAACCTGTTTCATATTTGTTGACATACAGCTATTAGTACTTTAACTGCCTCTTTTTTCCTGTTTGAAGTCTTCAATTTGTATTTTAACTGCTTTCCTGTGTGATAGCGGGTATATTGTTTTTTATTCTAAGTGTTTGACTGGTGTTGATTCAGGAATATATTTTATTCCACAAATGTATCTGTCATTTTGTAAAAGGTTTCTGTGTACTCTCAGATCTCTTCTGTGAAAACTCTTGAGTATTTCTATCTTAACTTTACATTTTTCCTCTGATTTCTCTAATCTTCTTTAAAACATGTCTCATTTTCTTTTTCTGGTTTCTGTTGTTTGTAACATTGATTGATATATCTTTCCTTGTGCTTACTTATCTTTACAACTCAGTATATATTCTTATATTTGCCCAAGAATTTTCATATTCCCTTTTGCCCAAATTCTAATGAAGAATTGTTCTGCAAGTTACTTGGGTATTTTTTCCTTAAAATCCTGAAAATATTTTTTCCCAATTTGCTTTTCATGATGAGATTTTTTTCTTTCCAGAGCAATTTAGATTTTCCTTTATAAGCTAAGCATACTGAGTCTGTTTGGATGCTTATTTTATATTCTATATTTCATAAGTCATATATAGTGTGCACACCTATTTTCTTGAGTTTTCTGATTTATGTCTTTGACAATTGCTAATCATATTGACACCTACACTTGTAAATGTCCTGGCTGATTCGATTGGATCAGAGGTGGGTTGCTACCGATTTGCACCAGTTCAGGTGAACAGGTAGTGGAAATTGGAACTGGGTTGCTGAACAGGTAGGGATACAGGCTGACCCGCCCCCAAACCGGTTTCCCAGTCACCCATGCCATTGCCGGCATGTTTTTTAGTAATTTTATAATGTTCTGCGCATGGTCAGAACAATCTTCAGGCAACTGTGTATGTACAAGCAAAGCATGCATGAAGCGAACCGGCAGTAACACTGGCAGCAACCCACCCCTGGTTTGCATTATTATCCCCTCTGTTTCCAGTTATACTCCAGTTTATTCCAACATTGGAATAATATATTCTCCAATTAATTCCAACATTGTCCAACCAGTGATGTCCAGATATAGAATCTGCATTTATGTTGCTTGAAACAGGTGTTGGCAATAAAGAATTCTCTTCATAAAACTCTGTTAATTATCTCCTGCATCATTGTATTTATTCAGTTTAAATCTTAATGTGACTCAGACTCTTTTAATGTTTCCAGTTTCTGCAATTCAATCATCTATAATACGGCGTCCTTTCTTGATGTTGCATCTAACATTTTGTGCAGTTTATTATAGAATTCTTGCAATGTGTTTATAGAAAGTACACACACTTGGCATTTATCAGGCTGTAATGAAGCACATATTTAGTGATGTTCTTTTTTAAAATATCTACTCTTGCGTGTGGTCATCCTTTGTTCATATACAATATATTCATTCCCTAAATTGCATACCAGGTAGCATCTGATTTAAAATAGTTCAATTCCAGTCTACCTAAGTTTTCTTATTCCATAAACATCCAATGCACAACACTTGCTTTTCATTTTGTCTATTTCATGTCTTCTTTGGTTTGTGCTTCTGAATATATGTGCCCTTTTTCAATACTATTGATGACCAGGCTTTCTTGGAGCTGTGTCATCATTTCCAGAACCATGCATGGAAGACACTTCTTCCCTAATGCCTTCTCATCTGGTAATCTTATCCTCTAGTAGATACCTCCATAGAGTTTCTTTGGTTTTCTATGTTTTATTTCTATGCAAACCATATTCTGTTACTTCTTTTGGGCAAAACAACTTAATTCAGAAAGAAAATATCTAAGGCTTGGTTTTAAGCCAATCAAATCAAACAACCAGGTGCATCAGTTGTGTAGGACTGGGGGGCTTTGATGAAATAAGAGGAGAAGCATGCTTTGTTGAACGTTTTGCATCCATACTAAGGAAAATGCTCTGAATACTATTTCCCAGGCCGAATAATGATTGAGTTCATTATTCATTTAAAGCTAGATGACATTTGTGTATAAGACATATAAATATATGAAGAAACTGCTACAACTAGCCCTGAGTAATAACTAGAATTCTGTGAACACATGCCCATTTTACTATTTGCTTGTAAAAATAGAAAAGATACAGTTAATGGTATTATTTCATTTATCTTAATAATAGAAATTTAATCTAATGATGTTAAATTTTAATTGTTGGGTCTTGGAATTAAAGACAAGTTCTTTAATTTTAAAAGTATTTATTCTGTCTTATTGCTGCAATATTCATAACAGCTTTTCAATCTCAAAATGATTGCTGTTGTATCTTCATTCCTATAAAGCAGCCAAGCAAAATATTTATGCAAATGTAGATGAAAAACTTACTTTTCTTTTAGTTTGCAACCCCTAATAATAATTAATGATGCAGTTCCTGTCTCTCCCCATATTCAAAAGGTTTGCAAATATTAGAGTTTGAGATTTGTTTAAATTATCATTGAATTCTATTCTTGAAACCTACTAATCGAGGGGGGGGGGAGGTCCTACCCACGGGCCATGGGCTGCATACGGCCCTAGACAGCTTGTAATGAAATCCTGTAAGATTGTAAACTTTTAGCATGATTATGTGATTTCATATTATAAAACCATATTATGTTTTATTATTTTATTACTGTGTTATGTGACCAAAGACTGTTCCTTTTCAGTCAACGTAGCCCAGATAAGCCAAAATGTTGGGCATC